GCTCCATTCGAAAACGGTGCGCTCTTCGCTTCGCCGAAGAAGGCATCGTCCGCCTGGGTGAGCGCGAGTGGCCGTTTGTCTCCGTGCAGACAGCGATTGGCCGCAGACCGGTCCTCGCTGTTCCCGGGCTCGGACCCAAAGCGGCCGGGGCCGCCCCACATCCCCTGTGTACTTTTTTTTTTGTGTGTGTGTGTGGGGCGGTGCGGCCCAGGAAGAACATTCCAGCTGAAGCGTTCACAGCCGAGGTGTCACGGGGTGTCGCTTAATTGGCAACTTGTGGTCAATGCAGATATGCTCCACGATGCGTCGCGTCCTCAATGGGCCGTGGCACTCTTTGCCTTTTGGAAATTGTCCTTTTAATTGGCTGCGCGGTCACAGTCCCTCGCCTGAACAAAAACTGTCCTCTGTGCTTACCTGCATGTGGCCCATTGGACTCGGAGGTCCCGGCGGGGGGGCGGTGAAAAGCTCCCATTTTGCCGGCCTCAAACCAGATGTTTTGTTTGCGGTCTCCGTCTTTGTCGACGGCACACTCTGCGGGATGTCGGAAGATGTTGTGGCACCATGAACGAAACGAGCGGAGTTTTTGACATACCAAGGTGACTCGACCGGGTTGTTCTCGACGGGCGAGCCGTCATTTCTTTTCGCTTTGCCTTGTGATCGCAGACTGAAGCGAACTCCAACCCCAACTGGATCACGCTTTGGCAAAGTTCTTCCAAAAAGAGGCTTCCATTCCCGGTGGAGGTCTACTGTCAAAATAAACCTCCGATCAAGAGAATTTCACCTACCAAGCACAAAGTCGAGCCTGTCGGTGCGCAAAAAGCTAAATGTCAGGTCTATTGCATGAGTGCACAGTTCTTCCAAAAAGAGGCTTCCATTCCCGGTGGAGGTCTACTGTCAAAATAAACCTCCGATCAAGAGAATTTCACCTACCAAGCACAAAGTCGAGCCTGTCGGTGCGCAAAAAGCTAAATGTCAGGTCTATTGCGCCGCTTTAAGCCTTTTACTCCATGAATTGAACGCAAACGGGCGTACGTGCGACACGTAGGCGGCCGGTAGAAGAGTACGCTTTTCCGTGGATTCGTTGTCCTTTCACTTCGGGGCCATTTCGGTTGCAGGCGGGGATGCAACGACAAGCGTGACTTAGGTGGAGCTGACATCTCCGTGGACAGAATTGGCGTCTGTCTCGTGTTGCCGCCGGGTGGCCGAGGCGGGCTCACCCGCTCGAGCGACAATCTGGCCTTCCGTCACAATGGATGGGATTTTGGTCATGACCGTCTTTGTTTTTTGAAACGAAGGGCACAATAACGCTGCGCCGTTTGATACAAGCCTCATGACCCAGATTATTTGGTGATGGAACAACAAAAGAAAAATTCACCTTGCACGCCTCTCGCGATCACGTGCCGCGGCCTGCTCTGGTAAATTTCCATGACGCAAGACGACCCGGCTTCCTTGAAAAGTCATGCTTGCTTTCAACACCTTTTCTCCATTCTGAGGCGGATCCGTCAGTGAGCTGACGCATACGCCCTCAGCCACCGTCGGCCAGAAAACCCCCCTCCCCCCCTCGAAATCCGGCCCACTCGCTCGGGTGGCTCCGGCAACGCACCGTCCGCTTCCAACTGGGCTGCATCGGCCGTTCTCGGCAGTGCTGCGATCCCACCACGGGGTGTACGTGACTGTGGCTCTGGCTCGCGCTACACTTGAATCCCCCCCCCCCACTCCTCGCT